TCTAAGTTCCTAGTGTGCATGAAACAGTTACTATCACTTGGGTGAAGTGGGCTGATGGGATCCTTCTACAGAAAACAATCAGGCGGTAACCTCTGGATCTGAGAAGTGAAGCCAATGCAGAAGTGGCTTGAACTTGCATTCTGTCTAATGACCATCAGGGGGCGACTAAAAACAAAGAACGAGTTTGATTGTATGGACGTCTATGAGAAAATGACCCTACTTCTGAATTGATTTATTACCTTGGTAAACATTATATGAACATGAGTTTATAGTCTCAATCGCTAGTTTCAAGTCTTCTTCATCACAGCATGATGTTCATTTAGTAAACTATGGTCCCTTTTAGAGTGAAATAGACCATAAAGCAGGGTACGCTTTAGGGCGTGGCTACCTTGTGATTGACAGGTCGCTACCACGGCATTGTGCGGTTTGGGAGTTGTGCCTGTTTACAACTTTAACACTTTCACACTGAGTTTTAACACCATGAAAGTTAATTGTAACATTTTGTTTCGCCTAAAAATCTATGAGTCACAGTATACAGTATATATATATGGAAGTTTATACTTTATACTGTGACTTACTGAATCTTATGTAACTGTACAATGCATGAATGTGGCTCTACATTTACATAATCTCTTCCTACTTCTTCTTCTACCTTGAATCTTCCCTTTGTCCAAATTTAGCAGGCGTCCAGTGGGGAAGACGCCATCACAGATCTTTCATCTCCAACATTCCCGCTTAGTTACTGTTGCTATGCACGGTGGATCATTGCCGTCACCGGTGCATCCAATAGGCATGTCGGCGCAGCCGGGGAGTCTAAAAACAGCTTTCTATATTACGGCATATAATGAGAAAGGTTTCATCAGTGTTCTCTCCAAATGTCAGAGCAGCTTTAATGATCTATTGAACACACACACACAAACACACACACACAGTGAAGCTATACATCATGTGCAAGTGTGCATGCCGTCACAGTGTGTGGCTCTTTTCTGCATTGTTGGCGTTTTTTTCAGTAATCCCACCTTTTCTGCTATTAATTCTCTCCACTGAAGCTATTAATTCTCACCATCCCCGTCACTTCTGTCTACCTCTCAGCATAATCTTCTTCCCTGTCACTCGATCTTTCCGTTATTATGATTATCAAGCATGTGGCCCGCATGACAGTTTCAATGAATACCTTGGCTTTTGCACGGAGAAAGAAAGTTTTGTGCGTGTGATGAGCGTGTTCTTCTGGGACATTGTATTAGCCAACAGGAGACACTTTAAATAGCCTTGTAGCACAAAAAAGACCCCCGTCTCCTCAAGCATGGTGAAGCACAACAGCTTGTGTAATGTTGTTATTTTTGTCATGTATGTCAGACTTCCTCTAATTACTCCTTCCAGGATGTGTGTTGCATTTGACACTGTATATTGGTTCAGCAGGGAGAGGAGAACATACGCTAAATAATTTAGATGGGATGGACCGGGAAAAGAGATAGAAGTTAGTGTGGTACAGATGGACTGGAGAACTTTGAGTAACGGGAAAATAAAAGTGAGAAAGACTTTGGAAATGCAGATAAATGTATATTTATATAGGAAGAGGACAGCAATGAAACAAAGAGCAGTAATACATGAAAGAAAGAGTTTTGTGAGATCCGAAAGACGGAGAAATAAAAAAGAAGTGGTGGCGGATTGAGGAGCGAGGCTGAGAGGACGATACGAGCGAGGAGAGACACAGAGTGAGGAGGAAAGGCTTATCAGCGAACACGGCAGCCGGGGCTCTTGGTGCAATGCAGACGCATTGCCATGGAAACGAATGGAGGGAAAGCGCAGACGAGGAGGAGGGGATTAAATAGGAAGGAGATCACTGGGGGGGCTGACAAATGAGTATCATGTGGATATGAAGTTAAATGAAGTATAGTTGAGTTGAGTTTACGGTGGGGGTGTCCCACTCGTGTGTGTATGATCTCGCTTTCGAGGTTATTTTGACATTTCACCACCATGATTCTTTTTATCAAACACACGTTTAAGTTGATAATGTTCGAATAACAGTTTTAAAAGCTGTGTTCAGGACCAGCAGGCCCGTGCGGTTCAACTATGAGCCGGGCAGAGTTCACTCTACACCAGTTTGGTTCCTGGTGTCGGTGCAAAGTGCAGGAGTTTCAGTGAAATGTTGCCTCTATAAATAAAATGAATTAAAAACTAAAAAAAGTGATGGGAGATGAGGCTGTCTCCATGGTGCCATTTGTCTCAGGTGGTTATTGTCTGGGTCCAGATCTGAGGGCGGGGGTTGTCATGGCAGCAGGAGGGCATGGAGTTTGTCTGGGTGTGATGCTGCAAACACGCACACACATGTATACACACACACATACACACACATGTATACACACACACTCACACATGTATACACACACACACACATGTATACACACATCCACACACACACACACACTCTTTATCTCACGCGCACACACACACACACCCACATGTATACACACACACACACATGTATACACACACACGCATACACACATATGTATACACACAGACACACACACATCCACACACACACACATTCTCTCTCACACACACATAGACACACTCTTTCTCACACACACACACACACACACACATAGACACTCTTTCTCTCACACACACATAGACAAACTCTTTCTCTCTCACACACACAGACACACACACACACACACACACACACACACACACTCTTGACTGCAGGATTATAAATAGAAGGCAGCAGAAGGCAGCACCTCTCTCATGTCCAACACCTATGGGACCCCATCATTCTCATCTTCCTCTTCACCCGTTTCTCCTCAACACTTACTTCTGCTTGTCCTCTCTCTTCTGTTTCACTCTTCATCCCTCTTTCAAAGCCCTCTCTCCTCTTGTTGAATCTCATCTTTTTTGTTTTTGCAGCCCCCCCCCCCCCCCCCCCCCCCTCTCCTCAAGTGGCTTTGTTTGCTATCTGTTTATTGCCATAGTGACGGTGGTGATGCGGGGTGTCTGCGGTTGTCATGGCGATGAGATACGGGCACGGAAAAGGATGCTTAATGAGCTTAGAGTTGCTTGGGCTAATGAAGTGGTACAGCTGTGACTGGATGTTCGCTTAACTGACAACAATAAAGCAGCCGCTTGTTAAAAGTCTCCTTATAGAGGAGAAGTGTACGACTGCAAATGCAGTCGTAACAACAACGTAAAGCAGGTGATATTGCCTTGTTAACCAGTGATTCACCTCCCAATTAACACGTTAGAAGGGAAAAAAAGTTAGAGATGTCTGTAAAAGGTTTAAGACATTTTTAAGAATTTAAAACCCTAATGTGCTGGCCTAGAAAGCTCCTGTCAAAGGGAAGTCCTGGAAATAAGTCTTTGTGGAGGTCTTTAGGCCTCACAGCCGCGCTCTCCTCCTCCCGTCTGACTAACCTGTCACCCTGCAGCACACACTGCTCTCGTGCAGACTCTGTGCGTTAGAGTGTAAATGCTGCACGGAGGTGTGAATGTACCGACACTAGCGATACCAACTGTCAGCATGACGTTTGTGTGTGGATGTCTGCATGTGTCTCTGTAGATCATTGTGTTGAACGGCTTTGGGAATTGTATGTTTTTATATTGCTTTATTGTTTACAGTTGTAGACGTCGGGGAGAATGAAAGTGTTTCTTTCCCCCTCCCTCTCTTTTACATCCTTTCTACTACCAGCCTCTAGCCTCCAGCGTTTTAATATTAACTGCAAATAACAATTAGCATTTTTTTCCTCTAGTGAACATATCATTGTGCGTATACATAAATGTAATTTATGATTATTTTCATGAATTTTCATCCATTAATCTGATGATTATTTTCTAGATTAATCAGTTTATTATAAGTAAACTGTCAGTTAAAGATTTTTATAATTTCCCAGAATTCAAGGCGATGTCTTTTAATCCTCGTTTTTGCAAAACCGTGAGAATATTTTGCACTAACGCTTTAAGAATTATCATCAAAATACATGCATCAGTGTGTGTTTCCCTGAGGTGCATTAGAGAGACGTAAGCCCACATTGCCTCTTTGGACCTGAAGAACTATGGATGGCAAGACAAATATGGGAGTGACGGAAGGGATAAACGAAGTGTTGTCTGAGTGCGGAACCTTCCATGTCACAGCCTGAGCCCAGAGCACTTTGACTGTGTCTACTTTGAACTCGGCGTGTCAAGTCACACAGAGATCCAGTGTGTCATTACTGGGGATGATGCCCTGAAAGCTTCTTGTGGGGTTAGTAGCTCTCCAGCTCGCTCCCGTTCTCCTCGCGTCAGCAGAGCTGTACAACCTAAACACCTCTCCCCCCTCCCTCCGTCCCCCTCTTCAGCTCAGCCTCTCCTAACTTTCTCTCTACCTCACCACTCGCAAACATTCCTCAAGCCACCAATTTGTTTGTGTGTTCTACTTCGCAAGTCAGGCTCAGGAGTCCCCCTAAAAGCTTATTGCGCCCCACTCACAGCAGCCATTGTAAAATGGGCTTTACCTGTTTGAAATGGGCCGTAGTAATACCTGTGAAGTGGAGAGATTTTTCCAATAGCGCGGGGACGTCCCAGCGGAAATTATATGAGATTCCCTTCTTGCCCGACTGAACTTGCATCAAAATAAATAGTGGAGAGATGGGTGTTCTCAGGGCTAACCTGGATCTGTCTTTATTTCTAGTGAGTTTAAAAAAAAAGCTAACTTTGTGGATATTTCCTGTGCAGCCCATCTCACAGACTTAAAAATGTTTGACAGAAACATCCATCTTCGGTCTTCATAATATCTGCAGGACAAGATATGTGGGGACTCCCATCTTTTCATAAAAAACAATTTGTGCCTGAATGTACATGCAGCATGTCCCCATGAAATGCTTATCATGCAGACACCGGTCCTGTGTAATACCTGACCTGCTTATCAGACAGCTCTGCGACTTCCTCTGATTACTATGCTTAGTGGATCATCCTGCTGAAACAAGGTCACTTAAAGCCGGAGCTGTGGCCTCTGTGTTTTTCAGACGGCGGGACGAAGAAGCTTCGCAGCACCATCCGACGGAGCACGGAGACCGGCATCGCGGTGGAGATGAGGAACCGAGTGACACGGCAGGGCAGCAAGGACTCAACTGACGGCAGCACCAACTCAAATAGCTCTGATGGAACGTGAGTACCCGACCAGCCATTCATCCACTCGTCCTTGCGTGTACAGTGTCCCATTATTCTGTTTCTTTCCCGCTCAGGTTTGTCTTCCCCACCACACGCCTGGGGCCTGAGAGCCAGTTCAGTGACTTTCTGGATGGACTAGGCCCCGCTCAGATTGTCGGCCGGCAAACACTAGCTACACCCCCCATGGGTAAGCCATTAAAGAAGTAGACCAACAACATCATCTTTTCCTGTTCAGTCCATCTCATTACTGTCAAGTATAGTTTGTGTCTTCCTGAGATTTTACGAGATGCTTTGCACTCATAGTTTTTGTGGCCTTAAGTACAATTTTATTACGATTTACAGGAAATGTCTCATTAACTATTACTGTAAGTCTATTAAACAATGCAAAAACAATCATAGGTAATTAAAGATGTAATGCACGAGAATGTCAATATTGTTGCAGGATGACAGAGAACATATTCTACAGCCTTATACGAACATATTCACTGTGAGATGCGCAGCAGCATCTAAAAATACTGCACAATACTAGTGTATTCACTCAACACGGTGAAGTTATTCCTGCATGAGGTATAAATCTTTCATGCAAAGGTCATTGCTTGTGAGAAACAACAGAACAGAGCACTGTGCTCCAACATACCTGGTTGTGAAGACATACGTACAGCTCTGTGTCGCCCTCTGCAGTTAGATATTGGCCATTGCGACATCAGTGAAGCAATGTTTGTGATAATATATATATGTATTTTGGATTATTAGACATGGTATGTTGTCCCTCTACAGGGGATGTCCATGTAGGCATGGTAGATAGAGGAGGGCAGCTGGAGGTGGAGGTCAACCAGGCCAGACGGTTGACCCCCAAACCGGGCTCCAAGAACATACCAGGTACTCTGAGCTGCCTTCACCTTCTGCGTTAAAACTTTATCGACTTGGCTTCTTTGTCCAATCTGTCTGATCACTGTGTTGTCTTTCGTTGCTTTGCCTGCAGCGACCTACGTGAAGGTGTATGTGCTAGAGAATGGCCTCTGCTTGGCCAAGAAGAAAACCAAAGTAGTGAAGAAGAATCTGGACCCCACCTACCAGCAGGCTCTGTTGTTTGATGACAGTCCTCAGGGCAAAGTCCTACAGGTATGACAGAACTCTTCCTGACTTCTAAAATGTCCCATTACCTGGACTGTATGTATAATTGATTCTCATCTCTCACTCTAGGTAATAGTGTGGGGGGATTACGGGCGTATGGACCACAAGTGCTTCATGGGAATGGCCCAGATCCTTCTCGAGGACTTGGACCTGTCTGCCACAGTCAGCGGCTGGTACAAGCTGTTCCCTACCTCCTCTCTGGCAGATCCCAGCATCGGACCCCTCACCAGACGCCTCTCCCAGTCCTCCCTGGAGAGCGCCACCAGCCCCTCGTGCACCTAGACACCTAGTAGACACCCACAATGCACGGGCACAGGCAGAGTCATGCAGACACGGACACACGTACTGTATATACACAACGACTGTAAGTGCAAGACAGTTAGGCATACACATACACACATAAATACTCCTGTGCGGTCTGTGGAGGAAGACACAGTTGACGTAAAATTGCAAATACCTGATCTCGTCCACATGAGTACACACACACCGACACGCTGCCATATCCTTCACCACGTCCATATTCTCACACACTAGATTTGCTTTGAGAAAGCAAAGCAAATTCAACTTGAAGTAGACTTAATTTACCAGAACATGTAGCATTTTTTCACCGTCCCATTTCAGCATTTCCTACCATGACACAGCAAATCTGCACTCCAATGTACCAGATTGTGGCACGACTCATCCCAGGTTCATCCTGATGCCAGTTTCTAAACTCTCTATGCCAAACTAAGAAAAAAAAAAAACTTTATTTTTTAAAACCAAAGCAATTGTTATTGTTGTTATTACTACTATAAGTCGTAGGTGAACTAGTATACAATATAAAGTATGGATATGTAGCAGAGTCAATGACTTAGATGTAATGCAAAAAAAGAACATACATTCTACACACATGAGCTGAGAACGACATAAACACATAAACATACCTGGGCAACAGGCTTGGGTATTCACATAATGGCTGTTATGTGAGGTAGCAACACTGCTATTCTATAATTTCACAGGGCAGAGTTTATATATAGATACACACACATATATATATATATATATATATATATATATATATATATATATATATATATATATATATATATGAATAGATAGCTAAATACTTATTTGTGTTTATATATGTATCAGCTGCATTCTGCATGTTTGCTTGCAACCCTTGTATAGACATTTTAAAGCGCTTCAATCATTTTATTTAGCTTGCCTCGACCAATGTAACAGATATTAGCGCCACTTTATTTTGCAATAAGAGCACTGCACTGAGTTAGGTGGGAGGATGGCGCTTTGGTGAGGGGGGGGACCACTATCATTGCCAATTGCAGAGGAAGACAACAAATTAGTCAGCCAGCTACGCATTCGCTGGTGGACTAAATATCTGATCCTGCCTTCATCTTTATAGTAAAGGACTGTTGCGCCACACAGGCCACACAGCACAATGGCATTCTGGGAAATGTGTCCAGCTCAAGTGCCACAGTCACACTCTCTCTCTCTCTCTCTCTCTCTCTCTCTCTCTCTCTCTCTCTCTCTGAAAAACCAGCACCCAGACTTGTTTGAACTTCCTGTTGATTTCCCCCTTTTTGATTTTCACACTCTTGATTGATAAAGGAGGTCGGAAGGTGGCGAGCATGCCTCTGTCTTTCACACGCCAACGCGTGCAAACACAACACACAGCTGGTACCAACTACAACCTTTAACCCTTCTCTTTGGTCACCCCTCTTTGCCACACTTACTGTAACTTAACCTGTATATTGAAATCGAGATTAGTTTTTTTTTTAATATAGTATATATCTGACTGTAATGCCAGTGTTACTTTTCGAGCAGGTTGATTGTTAACCTGCTATGTACGGTAGTTTTACTTGTTTCAGGTGCAACACGTCACTCTTTATATTTCCTGTCAGGCAGCAGGTTTGTGTTTAAGATGGCACTTTACTGAAATATATGTATTATGTTTGAATTACAAAGATGCAGCGGTTGATTACCTGTCTATGTTTATTTTACCTGCTTATTTTTTTTTTTAAATTCTTTGGTCACAATGCATTTCTGAATCTTTTAATTGAATGCCAGCGTGGAAATGTAATTCAAAGTGTATTTTGAATTTCAGTGTAAAGGCTTACTAGGACAGCTAAAACGGGTCAGTGCTGCCACTGATTTTTGACTTAAATCGGAGCATCATAATAAGGTAACTTGTTTGCAAAGAACTTCAATATTTTGCAACATTGGCATATTCAAAACATATGGGATAAAGACATGTGTTCCGAAAAAAAAACATTTGCTATGATGCATTTGTGTATGTGATGTATTTAAATTTTCTCCTCTTTTGAGAAAATCTAACTTTCTCTTTTAATGTTTACCTCGCACAATTGCCAACGCCACTTTGTTCTTATCATTCGAAGTATTTTATTTGCATTTGAAAACACACACAAAAAAAGTTTATATTGTCCTGGCTGTTCAAGTAAAATGTACAGTAGGTGAGACTTCATCGATGGCAGTGGAGTAGCAGGGCAAACTCAGCTACTGGTGTTTACGGTAGTGTTTTTTAATCTGTCTGTCTTGGGACCAACACCAAACCTCGTGTATGGATAAAGACGCTAGAGTTGTATTTTTCGTAGATTTAGGAGAGATGACGGTCTCGTTACAGGCTATTAATAGCTTGTGCATGTTTAGGAGCTCACGTTTGGTTTCATCACCACCATAAGTGAACTTTGTAGCTCACTCCTCTCTTCATCTTTCTGCAAAAAGGGAAAACGCAAAGGCACTTTTTCTCGTCAGCACAACAGACCAACATAATTCACACTTAGCGCTCTTTAAACTTTGGAGAAAGGGAACTCTGGCATTCTTGATTTTTTTTGGGATGTATACAACCCTTTTAGAAGAACCATCAAGGTCTGGGTTCCAATTTCTTTTTGGAGCTATTCCTTGCCAGATCTTTAAATGTATGGTCATGTATATGAATTCATTTTATGTACCTTTTTAATTAGTATCTAGTTTTGTGGACAGCTGGCATGATGTAAAAATACGGACTTATACTCTTGGTATTTGCACACAATCTCTTCAGTGCGCGTCTTTTTGTGAGGACAAAAGAAACGTTGGTTGACGAGCGGGAAAATAATGGAAAGAACGTCAAAAAAAAAAATCTAAAAGAAATTTCTAGATCTATATAACTTCCCTGCTGAATGTTTAATGCTTTTATGGAGAGCGGAGGACATTTGGCAGATTTGTCCAAATCGTTTGATTCCTGCAACCAAATAGAAATATTGCCTTTCTTCAAAGTGCAGTGTGGATGTACAGTATGTCTTTCAGTGAGGTGCATTTATTGTTCTGCGTGATGGATAATATTGAGCAGCGAGATGTGAGTGAGAGAGATATTTAGATGTGTAAATATGTATTAAAAAGCCACTAGTTAACTGAAGTTGTGGACCACAGTGAAGAGAATTTAAGGATCAGGGTTTTCCGATATGAACATTAACACCTATTATTGCATTTACCTTACATTAGAGCAAATTGTTATAGTTACACGTGATTAACATGTCTCATACGTGGTCATTTGATTTACTCTGACACAGTTTTAAATGAGTTGTAAAAGGTTGGAGCCTCACAAGCAGCAGGGTTTACCACGGCAGGGCAGAGTTACAGCAGGTTGTCAGGTTGTTGGATTAATCAGAGTGTCAATTGGAGACACTTAGGAGGGGTTTTAGTGGCATGGAGCAGCTGGGTGAACTGTTTCCGATTGGTAACGATAGTACCAGCTTGAGGTTGAATGAAAAGGCTGCGGATGCTTTGGAATGAAAACCCATTTGCTTGCTTGCTTCCCTGTTAAATCCACATTGAGCATTCTCGAACCCAACTTCATTGTGTGCAAAACTTTTCTAATGCATCTTCAATCGACCTGAATCGTCTCTTGAGCGCTATGTTGGAAATGTTTTTTATTTTTGTACGGAGAGCGGTATTATTCAGAGGAGGAGGCGGAGGAGGAGGAGAGAGTCGGAGAGGCAAAAACCTGCCTTGAGATTTTTCACGAAAATGAGGGCTTCTTCAGTTTACAATGGCCTTATTTTGTGTAGGAGACATTGCTATCACTATTGTAGCACACAACTGAAAGTTTTGACAAATGTATTTTGCTTGAAATATTGTACCGAAGTTATATATGTGTATATTTATAGTTTTATGAATGTATTTCTTAATCCTTACACCAGAACTGAGTGTAATTTTTTTGTCATCTTGTTTGCTATACCGTCTATTTGAAGACTTTCCAGGGACCTCGCCTGCGTTGGTTCAGGCAGCCCCTACTCTTACTGTACTGTATACTGTATGTCTTATTCTTTGTGTGTTCATTTAAAAAAAGAACAGCTCTGTGGTTGAAACAAGCATGAGTTCTATCTGGCGAAATACATTTGTATTTATTTAAATCGCCACGATGGGTCTCAAGCAGAAAAGATTGCCACCCCCCCACCCGTACCAATTAACTTTAACTCAATTTATCTATCAAGCAGATGGAATATTTAAAATTGAGCTTGAAAATGTTCGCCGCATGGTTACTCTGATGATTTTCATGTATTTAATCTTTATGATGGTATGATTATGGTGATAATACTTATAATAATGACACGTGATCACATCAATTCGACCCAGTACAACGTCAAAGGAAAGTCATTGAGATGCAAAAATCTTGAAGTAGCATGGATTTAGCCTTCCACTTTCTGAAATACTTCTTGTGGCAATAACCATTTCCTGTAGCCTCTACTGTTGCCGGGGGGCGTGCACATCTGGCCTCGGCCTCTGTGTCACTAATTAGTCGTGGAAACCTCTGGCTGAATCTGTGTCAGCACAACATGATGAGGAATAAGGTTTGAAGTCAAATCCCAGTTTTAAGCACTTGAAGCAATTCAGACTCAACAGAGCATGTGATGCATTGTGAATAACTGCTATTTTATGATAGCCCCCATGAGCAGCACATTTTTGTTTGGGAGTTTTTAGTTTACTTTCATTTTCTTACGAAGCATGCATTCCAAATGTCTTTTTACCGATGTAGCAGCAAAACGGAGCTGAGCTGATGGGCAAATTGTTAGTGAGGCATGTTTGTCTTCATCCACGTCTATAAATGTCGGTAATCACAGCACAAGTCTCCTCAGTAGCCATTTTGTCCTTTTAGCTGTCTGTCAAACTATATTAAGGCCAATGTAGCTCCCCTCCCCACTATCAAGACAACCTTCATCTTCATAAAGCCCAGCAAAGCACAATTTCCAACACTGAGGTAAATCTTGGGAAACAAATCTAAAGACGGATGGAAGCATCTGCCGAAATAACAGCCCAGTTGAATTGGATTGCTGGTGTCGGTAGATGATAGGTTGTCCTTTCTTAACCGGCCTTAACCTTTCCACCGGGGAGCGCTCACAGTGTACGTTTTAAAGGGCAAAGCATAGCAGACCGTCTGAGGAAAGGATGCTTACAAAGAGGAAAAATGGAGCTGTAATTTTATACCTGTGCTTTGTAAATGTTTTCTATGTGCAGTATTTGATAATGTAAAACTGGTATTTTTGTGGTTTGTACGCTGCAGAATTGATAACTTAAGGTGCACGTAGTTTTGTAAGAAAATTGAACCAAACTGAGGAAAAAAATAACAATTTTTGATTCAGAAGCCTGTATTTGCATGCCCTTTGACATCTGGACGCAAAGTCAATAAAGTTAATTTAAATCACAAACATTTGTCAGGTGTGTATTTGTAACTGTAAAGTCCCAGGCTAAAAAAAAAATGTTTTCTGCCTCAATTCATGCATACGCCTTACTCAAACAGCCAGCAGAATGTCAGCATTTGGGACTGAAGACCTTCAAATCAACACAATATATAGAATTTAATCAAAACAATATTTATTTTGTATATTTTCACAAAGACAAGTATCATGTGTTACATATTCTCAAACGCAATTGACTAACTTGTGGAGACATAAAATCAAAAGGGGCAAAGCACGTGAAAAGAAATGCAGAACTAATATACAGTACATGTTCATCAATGTTGTTTAAGGAACACTCTATACATAGATATTCTGATAAAGAATAAAGTACACAATAGCTTGATTGACAAGTACATAAAAAGATACATTCCTTTAATTGCTCTTATTTCACAGAAAAAATAGCAGACAAAAAAAAGGAACTGAATACAAGCAAACTAAACTTAAAAGGTATCGCCCACAGAGATAGATTTATACTGCTAGCTGACAGATCTGCCATTACACTGCGAAGACGACACGTTGTCTTATGATGATATTGCTCTCAGCGGAGAAAGTGACTGCTGCAGTCACACTGTTGCCTCAACTGCCACAAAAAGAGCTAAAATCGAAGAGAAGAGAAGTTGCTGAGTTGTGAAAGGCTTTACAACTGCGTCAGCCGTGTCACAATTGGCGCCTAATTTGACGTCATGAGATTAAAACATAGTTGAACCACAGAAAATTCAAAAGACACCAGTGTAAATTGCTTGACAAAGTCGTAGAATATCAAAAAACAAACGCACCCCAGCAACACTCAGGTGTGCGTCTCCAAAAAAGGAGTCCTGTACAGTCGTGAAACACATTCAGGACGCACATTCGTTGAGACATTTTTTCGGTCTCGATCGGAGACCGATTGACATGTAGAGAGGAACATTCAGAGAGACACATTCAGATATCACAATAAACATACAGTATATATACAATCAGAGATAAACATTCTCTACATGCAATTCAGTGGAAGAATCTGAAACATGGCGGATTTGTACTTTAAGTTGTCTCTTGCCTCCGTCCCCACCTCTCCCTCTATTTCTCTCTTACTTACAGACATTCAGCATTATTTGAGGCCTCTATTGTACAAGGTAGATTAACTTGAGGTGTGTGAGCGTTACCTCAACATTTACATACATGCAAGTGACTTTTTGAGTGTCCTGCTGAGGAAGTTGCACAGTGAACTGATATTCCCAGACATTCATCATGTAAGAGCACGGTTGACCAAACATACTTTAAAAGGACTGCTGAATTGAATGTTACACTAATCACTAGTTAAGCGGCTGCACAGATGTAACAAAGCATTGGAATACTGTACAATCATAATAAAGCTAGCGTTGATCTTTGGTCTCCCAAATCCAGTTTTGGATTTTAGACACTGATTATATATTGATTCTAAAAGAAGCCCTCTGTTGATTGGGTAGAAGACATCATTAATACGGGCTGTTTAGGTAGGTTGTGTAGCTGCTTTAACTTGTGAGGCAACACGAAAAAGGATTTCTTAATTGTTTTTATATATAAGTATTTAGGAAGGGGATACATGTTTTCTTGTAAGATTTTATAATTTTTTCCTACTTATGCAGAGCTAGGCTATTTCATTAATGCCCTAACCTTAAATGATTCGTCACTTTAAACCTTGAGGTATCGAACTCTTAACTCCTCTGTGAGCTTAAAAGCTGGCTAGAAAAACATTCGTAGTTGCTCCTTCACAAATATGGTTGCGGCTTAAATATTAAGCTAATTGTAGGATTCTGTTGTGACTTATATTCTAAGAAACTTTGCTAATGCTAGGTTAAACTAACATTTTGGCTTTGACCTAAACTGAACGCTAATTTACTTTCTTGTCAAGAGTTGGAAGAGAACATCAATAGCACTCTCATGTGTACATGGTATATGAAGCTAATGCCAGCAGCCGGACAGTTTAGCGCAAAGACTGGGAAAAGGTGGAAACAGCTAGCCTGTCAAGGTACAAAATCCAGCTTCCAACATATCTAAAGCCTATTGATTATCACATTATATATCATTTCTTTGATCTGCAAACAGTCAAAGTCTTCGGACAGAGCCAGGCTAGTTGTTATTTCCTGTTTCCAGTCTTTATGCTAAGCTAAGCTAACCATCTGCTGGTGGTTGCCTCATATTTGATGTACAGACTCAAGAAGGGTATCGTATCAATCTTTTCATCGAAGGCTTATCAAAAAAAGCAAATAAGCATAATTCCTAAAATGTCGAACTATCCAACAAATTAAAAATGATTAAACCTTACCCTTGCAGCAAGGTATGTTTCCATCCTTTTGGGGGAAATGCATCTTGTTCCAATAAATGTCAAGATTCAGGCACACAGACCAATTGAGTTTAGCTAGGCTAACCTTCTTAATTCTGATTCTGATCAAGTAAGAAAAACTTTAAAATTCTCCAAAAAACAAACGTCAAAGCAGTTTGTTGACACCCACATACAGCGGATGTGTGCACACACACACCAACATGTTAGGTACAAAGAAAGATGTGTAACCTCTGAACCCTGTTGTCTTGGACATCATACCAAATTGTTCTGAAGGCAAACATGGAAATATGCAAAACATGGCCATGGATGTGTCGAGAAGAGGAAGCATGGTCAGAGAGGAGAGGGAAAGAGAGGTAGTAGTGGTTTCCCAAACCTTGATCTTCTTCACACTTGTCTCCTCCTCCTCTTCCCCCTCCCTTGCATTAGAAAATGTCTCCTGGAGAGTCTGACCCACAGATTCCTACAATGCAGTTTGCCTCTCTTTTGTCGGTCATTGGCATTACATCACTTCCTGGATAGATGAAATCATTTCCAAACGTGTGCCGTCATGTGCGCTGAGCTTGGAGTTGTTGAGCCTCCCGTCTGTTGACTGCTGTATCCCGTCATGCCTTTGGTGTTGTAGAGATTGACGCCGGCCACATGTTGAGTCATCTGAACAACACAAAACACACTTTGTTATGAACAGAACTCTTACTACCCAAATTCATCCAGGCCAAAACAAATACACATACACACACCTGGGTCGTATTCCACTGTAGCTGCTGGGCATGTTGCACTCCGTACCCCTGCTGATGAGGTAAACCTCCAACCTGCTGCTGTCCCATAACACCACTCTGCTGCTGTACCATCACCCCACTCTGTTGTTGTTGTCCCATAATGCCATGATGCTGCTGTACCATCATCCCACTCTGTTGTTGTTGTCCCATAACACCACTATGCTGCCGTACCATCACCCCACTCTGTTGTTGTCCCATAACGCCACTCTGCTGCCGTACCATCACCCCACTCTGTTGTTGTTGTCCCATAACGCCACTCTGCTGCCGTACCATCATCCCACTCTGTTGTTGTTGTCCCATAACGCCATTCTGCTGCTGTACCATTATTCCACTTTGCTGCTGTCCCATCATACCCTGGGTCATGCCCGTCATGTAGGGTGGCGCCATAACGGCACTCGGCTGAGCCATGGCGCCTTGCTGTCCCATCATGCCGTTCTGTTGAACTCTATTCATGCCGCTCTGTTGCTGTCCCATCATGGCCATCTGGGATGTCATCATGGCACCTCCCATTCCACCTGCCTGGGCTAAAGAATGGTACGATCCGTACGGGTGCGTTGGGTATCCCATTTGGTTCATGTACAAGCCTGCTGAAAATAATCACACATATAAAGTGGCCATATTGGCAATTGGTAAGAAATTAATAATGTTAATTCAATAGTCTCTTTGATGAAACCAACTGATCCACTAAATTAAGACTGAAGGAATCAGGGAGAAAACAACATTTGAGAGTAGGTTTGCCTCACCGTGAGTCGACATACTGCTGGCGTGCACTGAGGGGGTGGAGGCATAAAGGGAGAGAATAGAGTCCTTGGACAGTTTCTTGACAGTGCCCTCCTCTGCTTTGGGTGCCGAACGCAGGAACAGACTGAGGTTGTCAGGCACCGAGGCAGTCACTCTGCTCTGAGGCATGGAGCTGGAAACAGGCTGGAGTGGGAGGGCAACAGGGTGGCATGAATAGAGAGACAGGGAGAATGCAGGAGAAAGTTGTCAACAGTGGAAGGATGCAAGTAGGGGTGACAAAATCGACAAATGGTATCTACAAAGGCAGATTCAAACAAGAGTCAATCTATCGCTCTTTGAGGGAGAGTGGTGCTTTGAGCTGAATGCTAACTTTGGCATGCTAACATGCTCACAATGCTGGTGTTTAGCATGTATGTTCACCATCTTAGTTCTGCATTTTAGCATGCGAACATTTGCCAATTGGCACTATAAAAAGCACAACTGAGGTTGATGGGAATGAAAGTTTTGCATGTATCGTAAATGACAAATTGAAATTTGAACCTGATGATGACGATACATGAAAATTCAGGGGATCACTAAAGTTATTACTACTCAAGGGCGATATTTATGTCTGTATTTATCAGTAATCCAGCAAGTAGTTGTTGAGATTTCCGTCTCTATGACAAACGTCAACCTCATTTTGGCGCGCTAGATAAAAATTCGTACTTTTGGTACTATGAATGTCCGTACAAAATTGTATGTTAATCCATCAAAAATACATCAGTCTGGACCAAAATGTTAGACCGACCGACAGACTGCCATTGCCATCCCTAGAGGCGTGCAAGTAGCATGGCTGCAGACATAAGGGCTCTGTGGAGAGCAGACTGTGTGTACTATTTGCAGTGTGTTACCGTGGTTTTAATGGAGGAAGCAGAGGAGGGTGCTGGCAAGGAGCTGAAGAGATCCAGTGCAGAGTGTGCCAGAGGTGGATTGGACACTGCCGGGCTCTCATTACCGTCTGGTACGCATCCTCCACCATTAGACACTGCAGCACTTGGAGCAGGGCCATCTAATATCGGGTAGATGGAAGCATGTATGATTATTCAAAATGATTAGCGGCTCAAGTACAACCCGTCTACTCCTCTAACTATTTCTTTCTCTTCCCTCTATGCTGTAAATGGGTGTTAGGGTGTACATGTGTGTGAGGTGCAATACCTAATTCAAGCAGGTCTGTAACAGACTGGAGATCTGTCTTGGGGCTGATGTCTTTTTTCTGTCATAACAGAGAAAGTCCATGTAAATTTATGTCTGCGTTGACGAATGAGCTTGAATCCAGAATCCTTTCAGTCCAGCCTCCCTGGTGTTGAAATGACCTTCCCAGTCCAGTCAGAACAGTTACGCCCAGTTTTCCCGAGCTCGCTGAAAACTCCCTCAAGATGTACTTCCTCTCATGTCACCTTCTCCTCACTGACTGACACCCTCTCTCCTCTTTCTTTAGCTCCTACTCTTCCTCTCCTAGCACTCCCAATCGCAGTCTATTGCTACACACACATCAGAGCATCAGCTTAATGCTAGAAAGCGAACAATCTCTAAGGAAGGTCAGTTCTCTTTTAATGCTGCGATTCAGCCGGTACTCACCAATTTCATCTTCTCAAACACAACGGGTTCCTTGGGTATATTGTCACAGCTCTTTTCTTTCTGTACAGAGAAAATCAAATGGTTTTGTTGAGCAAGCGGGCACTTCAGTTAGAATGGCCCTGTTCAAGAGTACCATGACAGTAGTAGATAAAAAGAGGCGAGACAAGAGAGTACGTTACACAGTTTTTGTTTCTGCTGAGACACAAGCACAAAGCTTTTTCTGTATGTGTGTGTGTGTGTGTGTGTGTGTGTGTGTGTGTGT